GCGCGGGCGCCACCACTGCTCCCCCCCTCCCTGCAACTTCGGACATTCGGCCTTTTTATGGCCGGTCTGGTTGCAGTGAAAACAAATCAAGCCCTTCTTGGGGCAATCCCTGATCACGTGGCCCGGTTTGCCACAAGCATAACATCCCGAGCCTGCCGCTCGACAAGCCCCGCTGTGCGGTTTGCCGCACTTGGTACACCGGCCACGACCCTGCTGGCCCCTGCTGGATGCGTCTGGGGTCTTAGGCTTTTTAGCCTGACCTACCGCCGCCTGTGCCTGCTCAGGCTTCCGCTTGGTGCGGAAGTCCAACTCCGTTTCCCACTCACGAGCCTTCTCCACCATCTCATTCAGGGTTTTGCACCCTGTAAAACTCACAAACTCCCGTATATCATCCCTCAGCATGGAATTATATCTTGTCCGCCTCATATCATCATCCGTAGCGTACTGTGGGATCAACAAAGCTCGTTCCCGAAACTTGGCGGTGATCTCCGCCACAAAATTTCGGTGGTCTGCTGGAGGTCATGAAACTCCCTCACAAGTCGTTGCACCTCAATAGGTGGTGCAAACTCCGCATCAAATAGCCGAACGAACTCGGCCCACATCAGCTCAGCCACACTGGCTGCTCCCACTTGGTTGGTCACCTCCCCCACCAATCTCGGGCTTTGTCTCGTAGCATACATGAAGAAAATCCCACCTTTGCCGCATCAGGGCAAGAACTCGTACGATGGGCGTTCTCAATATCCGCCACCCAACGTCGACTAACAATGGGGTCCCTGACCCCGAAAAACTCTGGCACTCCACACACCTTGAACTCCCGGAACGAGCGAGTTCAGGCCTCGATCTGGCCCGCTGCAATCTCGGCTCTAAATGACCTGAGCCTCTCCTACATAATCTCCATAATCCCCTCCTTGACGTTCCCAAAGATCACTGGGGTAGCTTCAAGGATGCCCTTCATAACCTCGGTTGTGATGATCTCGCGCATCCTCTCATCAATAGGCTCAGTACCGCTGCCTGATACAGATCCAGATCCCGATCCTGATCCTGATCCCCCTGTCCCAAATCGCGTCACCACCATGCTAAACTAAAATGTCATAAACCATAATAATCAGGACATATATATAGGGGATCTTCCCACACCGGTTGCCTTTATGCATGCAAATTATACATAGAAAAGGATCAAATAGACTTTCGAATAAAAGATTCTACCCTAAGACCACAACCAAACAAGGAACATGAAATAAGGCCAAATCAACCATTCTAAGGCTATAAGCTCCTAACCGTATACAATTTTAGAAGCATACACATAGAAAGTTCATAGTGATCTCTTCCCACCTCGCCGTCCTCGGTAACTTCGTGATGAAGTTCATAGTGATCTCTTCCCACCTCCACATGGGAATGGGTAGTGGCTGAACCTTGACATGAGGCCGCTGATGCTCAGCCTTGACCTTCCTGCAGGTCAAGCACCGCTCCACAAACCAGGCGATCTCCCGCTTCATGCAGGGCCACCAATAACTCAGTCTCAGATCTCTATACATTTTCGTAGCCCCTGGATGTATAGAGAACTTGGACTTGTGCGCCTCCTCCAATATCTTCTGCCTCACTCCCCTAGTCACTGGTACCCATACCCGTCCGCACTGTGTCAAAAGACCACGACTATCCTTAACAAACAAAGGATACTTCCCCCGAATCCACTCTATCTTCCAATTCTCCTTCTTCACCCCCTCGACATGAGCCTCTTTGATCATATCCAACAAAGGAGAAATCACCGTCATCCTCATACAAATGTTCCCAATCGGGGACCCCGCCATCTTGCGGCTCAACGCATCGGCCACCACGTTGGCCTTCCCTGGATGGTATAGGATCTCACAATCATAATCCTTCAGCACATCCAGCCACCTCCTCTGTCGCATATTGAGGTTCTGCTGATCCATCAAATACTTCAAACTCTTGTTATCGGTGTAAATGGTGCACCGCACTCCATACAAATAGTGCCTCCAAATCTTGAGGGCAAACACCACTGCCCCCAATTCCAGGTCGTGAGTGGGGTAATTCGCCTCATGAGTGTTCGACTGCCTCGAGGCGTAAGCTATCACATGCCCCCTCTACATCAATACCACACCTAACCCTGAAATCGATGCGTCATCAGTACTGCACTTAACCCTGAAATCGAATCATCCCTAAAGTTTGGTTATGTTTCGAATTTAGTCCGTATCGGACCTGAAATGAAAAAAAATACTCTTTTTTACTTAATTTTATTTTTTATTATTTATTTTAATCTTGTTATTTATTATCTTATTAGTAAAAAATAAAAAAATATTTAATAAAGAAATTCCCAAGCTAAAAACGTCATTCATGTCTCTCTCGTTTACGCTTGTACCGTCATCGGAAACAACTTCTTCTCAACACATGCTGTTGTTGTCTGTCAAACTTATATTCTCGGAAACCACTAAAACCTCGCCATCAAGATCTCTTCCTAACCCTAGATCCAACCCCATCCTCATCCCCATTCTTCATCGCTGGAAAATCTACATAAAAGGACTTTAAGTAGTAATGGTGTTTAATTGTGTTTTGACAACCAGACCAATGTTCAAAGTCGAGTTATAAGACGTGCTTTGTGGTTGCCCATTGACCTTCTTAATAGATCCATCGCTTACCCTGTCTCCCATCCATTCTCTCGTCTAAACAGTAAACACCGTTGCTTATAAACCTCCACCGATCACCAAAGATATACCAAACTCCCCTATGATACCCTTCTGACGTCGCTCAAACCTCTCAGACTCTCACCATCTCACGTCTCTCCCCCTCTCTCTCTTCACCCGTCGAACATAGGTAGGTGGTGGTTTATCACGGTAAGCAAAGGGGAAATCAGGCCGGTCATGAATTGGATACAAATACATTTATGAAATTGTAAGGTTGGAACTTCTTGACTGACGGTACATATCCATGGATTGTTCGATGACGGAGCTGGAAGGTGACGAAGAATTGGTATACATGTGCTAAAGGATTATGTGACTTTTTTCTTGAGGACATTTTCAAGTAACTGAGCAAGGGCTGCAATTGAAGCAATCTATGGTGTTGTTAACTGTATAAATTCCGACGAAGAGTTATAGGTCCAACAATTTTATGCTGATGAGATGTAATCAGTAGAGGTTTCTACTTCTGTTTCTGAGATGTCGTCGACAGAGGAGGAGATGCATGTGTTTGTTAAAAGGGAGAGGGGGGAAAGGTGGGTGGTGGTGGCTATTGTGCAGAACGACGATAAACATAGGGCAAAAAATTGGAAGAGGAAGGGTTGTTCTTCGATGGTTATGATACACTGGTATGAGCAAGAAGGAAGAGAGACGAGGGCATGGTGGGGTAGTTGGGACCCACATATTCTATTATTTTTATAATAAATAAATAATATTAAAATGAATTAAAAAAACTCAGTTGGGTATATTAGTCTTTTTATATCAATTAAGGACCAAAATCGCAACAAACACAAATACAGGGACAATCCGAGTTAAAAGTTATTTATAGAAACTATGCGTGCAGACTACCTAAGACCACAGGGACCATTCGTGTAATTATCCATTCATTTATATCTTACATTAATTTTGTTAATCAAATGTACTTGGTAGATGTGTAACTTTTAAGATGATTTAGAAACCATTATATGACATATAATGATATCATCGTAAAAAATCTACGCATTAACATTTTTTTTAGCATATATATATATATATATATATATATATATAAAATAAAGATCAGCAACGAATTCCTTTTGGAGGAGCATACCAACGAATTGTGCATTTCTTTCCTTCGCGTTGAATCGCTTTCCTTGCTTTGATCGACATACCCCAACCTCTTTTCTCATGGAGATTCATAGCAGGTTCTCTCTCTTTTTTCTTAGCCTCTATTATCGATCCCAATTATTCTCTTCCTCCTCTCTCAAAACGTTGATCTAGGATCGAAGTCTTCTATTCAAAATTAAATCGTCAATCCCTTCACTTCCTTGCTCACAAGATTTGATGCGACTCTTCATTCCCTGCTAGCCATTGTCCGCCTTCGCCCTTCCACATCATGCTCTCATAATCCGCCCTCCACGTTCTGCTATAACCATCATTCCCCCTCCACCACCATAAAGTCTTCCCACACCATTATTCTTATGTGTATCCCCTAACCACCACTTTTCTTTCATCATCCCCACAACCTACGTACACCGTTGTTTATTCTTCGGAAATAGACAACTGTTCAAACCCATCTCACCAGCTCTCACTTTGACGGACAAAATCGGTATGAAACCAAGATTATGGCTTCAATTTTATTTTGGGTTCTAGATGGTCTTATAATATCTGTAGGATTGATGGAGATCTGTTGCTCCAGTTCAAGGAAACATTTTTACCTAATTCTCTTTGATTTCAATTTAAAAGTAATGCATTAATCAAATGCATAAGTTTTTTTTTTTTTTTTTTTTTTTTTTTTTTTTTTTTTAAGTTTACTTGAAATTTGATTTTTGTTAAAAATTACAATGATTTCTAATTACTAAACTTGATTTCACGATTGCATGATTGGTCAAGCAATATTAGACTTCGGTTCATGTTCTTCCCCTTCTCAATCGATGTATCATATGCCTTTATTTCTCAAGAAATGAAGTAAAGTTGAGAAGACTTGATTGACTGTTTTGCAGATGGTGATAATTCAGTTTTAATGGATGATATGAAAGTTATGTCATCTGTAGTACCATATAGAACACATTTGGGGCCTATATCTGATCAAATGGCAAAATCATCTGCTGATAGTAAAAGGTGCTTACTCAGAACATGTTGATCTCACACGATTATAATTGATCAATTCAATTGTAAATGTGGAGTATTTATAAAAGATTTCAAATGGTTGACATAAAAAATATATTTTTGATTCTTTTTTCTTTTTTCTTTTCTCAACAGCCTGATTCTGAAGTTCATGTACAATGGAAATGGGCAGCTGAAATTGTGTTAGTTGCATGTACAAGATACATGGACATTGATGGTCAACTTATCCCCCTTAATGAAGAAAAGGTAAGAGATTTATTTCATCTTGATTAATTCCACCGCTAAAAAAAGTCAATAATCTAATTTGTGATTATTTACATTACAGGTGGAGTATTTTAAAAAAGCAATTGAAGATATGGCTTTTGGAAGCTTGCATTGTGTTGCTATTGCATACACACCATGTGAACCAGAAACTGTTCCAACATGTGAAGATGAGCTGGCACAATGGGAGCTAGCTGAGGACGATCTTGTCCTGCTGGAAATTTTTAGTTTAAAGCGATGTCCATGTCCATGTCATCAAAGAGATTAATATATATTTTTATGTTGTATATTTTGATACATGGTTTTCCATGTACGATCCATGTCAGAAAGGTGTCAGAGAGGCTGAAGTGTGCGTAAAGGCTGGTGTGAATGTAGTAGACAATATTTAATTATTATTTTTGTAAATTTGTATAAATAATTTTTTTATTTATTTGTGAAAATCCATGTAATGTAGGTAAGAATGGTGACCGGTGACAATCTACAATATGCAAGAGCAATTGCATTAGAATGTGGAATTATGGCATAAATGTTGATGCATAAGAGCCGAATCTTATTGAAAGGAAATCTTTCTGTGCCATGTCAGAGGAGCAAAGATTAAAAGTTGCTGAGAGGATATCGATATGCGAATTTATTATTTATTTTGCTGGAGTTTTTTCACATCTTATGATCATATTCTTTTTTACATTACTGGTATTCCTTACTTCTGTCATGATGAGATTTTTTTGTCTTGCTTTCTTGTTGATTGGTCTAAGTAAGCTTGTATGCGGATTGGAACATATGATTGACACTTATGGTTGACTAGTCTTTTTTCGTATCCTACAATCTCTTTTTTTTTCTTAGTTCCTAAATAGCAATCCTTGTATTTATTTTCAGAAATAAGAGTATGTTTTGTTGGTTTAATTTTTATATGAAATTTAGTTGGGATTTGGCTATTTTGAATGTTGATAATTAATCTTTTTTTTTTTTTTGTAATTTGATAAAACAAAAGTTGATTATTAATCCTTTTTCCATTATACCCTACCCCTTCATGTTTATATTTTTTGATTTTTGTTTAATTATTTTATAATGTAAACAAAGTTGTGATTCTTTTTCACAACAAAATCTATATGTTTTTGGCGAGACTGTCTCCTAATTTTTAAATAGAATATGAAAATATAAACTCAAAAATTTGTTATTTACTGAAGCTTGAACTCATTCAAACGAATTAGTAACAATGCATATGTATACGCATAGTATACGCATATGCATATGTATATGCATATACATATACATATGTATATGTATATGGATATGTATATACATATGTATATGCATATGCATATCCATATACATATGAATATGCATATGTCATATACTTATTCTTATGCATATGTATATTCATATACTTAATCATATGCATATGCACATGCATATGAATAAGTATATGCATATATAAATATGTATATGTTGGAAAAATAATTGGTGAATTGAAACTAATCACCAAAGTTGAGGGATTGAATGGTGTATAATTGAAACATGATGTTCAATTTTCGGTTACAACTCGTAATTAAGAACGATATTAAATATAATGTCAGTTACGAATTGTGTTTTAATGAGAATTTAATTGTTTGTTGGTTATGGTTTGTAGTATAAATACAACTATTCCTCAACCATTTGAGACACACCAAGAATGCAATAAAAATCTATTCTTCTCAATTTTTGTCTTCTTCATTTTCTTGTTATATCGAATGTATAATCTAGGCTTATTGAGGATTCGGGTGGTCTTCAAGAGCCACTTCAAACTATTGTAGCATGGGAAACAAACACCCGAAAGCGGACGGATTTGTTTTAAGGACAACGTGTTAAACACATGCCTCAGTTTTCAGTTTTCTTGTTTGTTTTCGTACATTACCGGAATATTATTCATATAACATATACTTATTCGTATGTATATGCATATGCATATACTTATTCATATGCATATGTATATTTATTCTTATGCATATACAAATGCATATACTTATTCTTATGTATATACATATACTTATTCATATTCATATGCATATAATTATTCTAATGCATTAACATATCCATATGCATCTACTTATTTATATGCATATATTTATTCTTATGCATAAAAATATGCATATACTTATTTTTATGCATACCTTATTCATATGCATATATTTATTATTATGCATATGCATGTGCATATAATTATAATTATGCATATGAATATGCATATGCATATACGTATTCATATGAATATGCATATATTTATAAATATGCATATAGGTATTCATATGCATATGCATATACTTATAAATATGCATATGTTATATACTTATTCTAATGCATATGCATAAGCATAATAATCATATTTATTTAATTGCCTTATTCGTATACTTATTTTTTATGCATATGTATGTGAAGTATTCATATGCATATGCATATATTTATTGATTTGTATATGTATATCTTTACTCTTATGCATATAGAGACATTA